GATACTCTATAGGGTATTAATAATATCGAATACGTAAACGATAATCTATATAAGATCTAAATCAAGTATTTTAATTATTTTATAAAGAGAAGGCGTGTAGGGATATATAGGTTATTACTATTTAATAGCTATAATAGTTATCTCATTAGAGAAATACTTAAATATATAAAGAATAATAATATTATTTTATTCTATTTACTCTTATACTCTTTATATCTATATTAATTATTAAATATAAATATCTTTTAGCTATTTAAATACTAGTATATTAAAATAATTAATATTATAATATATTAAGCCAGCGATAACTATTTAAAACTCGATTTTTTAGCTAATTTTCAAGTAATTTATAATCGAACCTTTATTAAATTAACTATTATATCTAAATAACGAGAAATAGACCTTTTTCTCTATAATCCTACTATTATTTTAAATCATTTAACTAGATTTTAGCGAAGAAACTTTTCGCTAAAAGATAAAACTTTAGAATAAAAAATACTCGATCTTAAAGATTAATTAATACTATATACTTATTATTAAATTATATAATATAAAAAGAAACTATAAAATATATATCTAATCGATTAATTGCTTAATAGATATATTCATGGAGTAGAAGCGAAAATGCTTTTAGATCTTCTCGCTAAGCGAGAATTAAATATTATTTAATAGACTATAATAACTTGAGTAATTTATAAAATAGAGTCTAATACGATAATTTAAAAGAGAGATATTATCTACTCTCATCAGATTCGAAATAAAAATTACTATATGTAAGGAAACGAAGGTTATAAAGGCTTTAAAGGCTTTAGAGTAAGTAAATATCTAAGAGTCTCGGGCATACAATGTACTTAGAAATAAGAAGATTAAGTAATTTAAGGCTACTATAACGAGGGCTAAATAGTTAATTAAGATTAAAAGAGCTAGAGAGATTAAAATAGATAATAATAATTTATAGTATATATATATGTGGGTGGGTAGATAAAATAATTGAAAAAATCCGTATTGGGGCGGCCTTAGCGTTGGGGTGGCCCATACTAAGTGTAACGTGTTCCCATACGATTAGTGGTGGCTCCGGGCGCCCATACCTTATCTGTCATGCGCATGTACCCGCTAGCGAGAGCTCAGGGAGCCCCCAAAGCTGCAGAGTTGCCACCTAATCTGGCCCGAACAGCCCCCTAATCAACTTCAAACCCCTCCCAAATGGCTTCAGACATGCTCCAGACCATGTTATAAGATTACAGACACCGAAAATCGCGTCACAGGGCCCCAACGCACAAGATTTAGGGTCCTGACAAAAGAATGCCCGCGCGTGCCAAGGACCCGGACAAGGCCCCTGCCTTTGTCGCAAATGTACGCCTCGAAGCAATAATCCAGAGCAACTACCTACATACGTACCATCGTAAAGTGTCTCTGCAGCGCACCCATGGAATAATCCGCCCCAAACGACGATTTTTCGGGGTACGACATTAGGGCGTTGATGGCCGGAGAGCTACTTTACCTACACCTCTAGCGGGCACGTTCGAGTGGCCGTGCGCTGAACGAACATCACTTCGGGTTGGTGCGGTCGTTACTGTTTCGATAGACTGAGCGTATCACGTATCCGTCTACCTTGAACAGGTGAATTGTGTCAAGTCTAGATGAGGGTTTGGTGGTGAGATAGTTATGGTTTGTTGGCTTGTTGTTCGGTGGTTGGGAGTCGTGGAGTTTGGGAATTGAGTGTTGATGGATGGAAGAAAAAGGAGGGGGACTTTTCACGCGAGGGAGGAATCCGGAACGGAAGGAAAGGGGCTATGACTGTGACAGGCGGGGCCCATGGAGATTTTGAGAATAACTGATTGCTCCAATCGTGATACCTAGATCAATACTACCCTCCCAGTCATCCATCTATCCATCTCGACACTGTGATAACAGTCGTGTAAACCATCGCCCCTAGCCCCACAACCATCAGCAATGCATCACCAATCTTAGTCCACCTCGACTCCGCCACCCCTTTGAAATGCAGCAGTGCCGGATAAATGTACACGAGCGGCACGCACGCGAAGCTGCCAATGAGCGCCACGAACTTATCCAGATCACTCGCGCCCAGGATGGCAATGAGGCCGCACAGAACCGTGATGGCGGCACGGAAGGCATTCTTCTTCCACTTTGTGGCCGAGGAGCGCTTGCCGGAGGCTCGTTCGCCGAAGAGGGACGTTTCGATAATGCGGGCGGCGGGGAAGAGCTGCACTGGTGTGCCGACGAGGACGGCCATGGAATAGAGAAACTGCACGGCGTTGACGAGCTTGCTGCTTTGGGGGAAATTGGAGATGATTTCGACGCGGGTTTTGTCGCCGAAGGTGGCGTAGCAGAGGGCGCCGATGGAGGTGAAGATGATGGTTATGATTATCATGACGACGTAGAGAAGACGGGAGAATTTTTCCGGTTGCGCCATCGAGGATTGGATGGGCAGGATGAGGCCGATGCCTTCGAAGGTGAAGATGGCGGAGCCGATAGTGAGGGTGAAATCGCGGGGGTTGAACAGCTCGACTGTTGGATGCAGGCCTTTGGAAGCGAGGGTGGCGATGTCGTAGTACCAGATGTAGATCAAGCCGAAGAGAATGAAGACGTCAGCTAGGAGAGCGGCGGGGCCCAATTTCGAGATGTTGCGGATGAGGGCGAGCGGGATTAGTACGACGAGTTGAATCGCTATGAGAGCCTTCCCGCTCAATGGTGCGGTAGGAGAGGACGTGACGGCGTCTAGAAACGAGGCGAGATTTTCGGCGGTGAAGATGATGCCTGCGCAGACGAAACCTATCTGCGATATCGTAATGGATCCGAGTATCAAGGCTCTAAGCTTGGGGCCTCCGATCGCGGCGCCCAATTCGCCGTAGCCGCCGCCGTAGCGCTGTCTGCATAACAGGAGCAGGTGGAAACAGAGACAGGATATCAATGAGACGGTCACTAGGGTGATGGAAGAAAAGAGAATGCCACCGTTCCTGAAAGCTTTGGGGAGAAACATGATGCCCGTACCAATGAACGCCTTGAGTAAAGTGAAGAAGGATTTCAACGTGGTCGCTTCCCCTAGCTTTTCGGCTCGCCGAGAACTCTTGCGCCGGCCCAGTAGCGGTCTGGTCTCGCCGGCCTGAGATTCCGCCTCCTCATCGGCGCTGTCGAGGGCAGATTCATCCTCCGACTCTGCAAGGTCCTCCCCTGCAAAGCTCCCATAAAGGTCGAGGAATGAGACAAAATTCCTGGTGACCGGACTTGTTACGCTGTTGAAGCGTCTCTGCTGCCGCTGCAAGAACTGGCGCCGAAATCCGCCCGGGGCGAGCTGATCGCTAGGTGTGATGTCATTTCTGTATGGGCCAAAAGTGCTGGATCTACGCAGGTTAGGATTCGCGAAAGTGGCAGCTCTTGCAGGCAGTCTGGCTCTAGCGCCAATCTTGAAAATTTCCCGGTGGATGTCACCGCCTTGTAGCGTCAGCGAGTCTTGCGGCTCTTCGGCTGATGATGGGAGGATTGGCGCAGACGCTGATGCGTTATTCGGGGCAGTTGAGACGGCATCGGGTTCAGCGGTATAGCCAGATGGCAGATGTCGGGATACTATATCTGCTTCCGCCTGTCTCCGTTCATTTTGGCTTGATGGGGTATCGGTCATGAGATGCTATGATCCTGTGGCAAAATCGTGGCGATGCGTATCGTTTACGGTGGAGAACAGGTGGCGACAACGTCACGGCAGATTGAAGATCACGGAAAAATGAAATACCACTCTTTGATCAAGGATTTTTCGCTGATGGAAAAAGAGTACAAATGGATTTTGCAAATGAGCAAAAATGATGAAATTCCGCAGGGCTGAAAATGTATAATACAAGTACCATACGGAACTCTACTTATGTAAGATATTGTTAGCGGCTCTCAAAATTACAAAAAGACATAGCATATCTCCACAATCAATGATTAGTTTTCTACTGGCAAAGATATATAATGATTATATGATTTCTAGCGATCTCATCCGGGACATACTTTCTCCAAGCATTAGGGGCCTGAAGTTACTGAAATCGTGAAATTGAGGGGCAAATCACGCTAAGCGAATGAATATGGGTCGTGCCAGTCGTTCGTAAGGTAAGATACTTGCAAGGCTTGTAAGGGCAACGTAAAATATCTGGCCAGACATTGACCGTATTTTCCCACGATTGAGCATATCTCTCGGATGATAGAATTCAAGGCTGATCTAGAGCTAGAATTGATGTGATGATATTATCGTTTGATCTCCTTTCGACCGTCACAGGAAATGTCACGTGGGATCTTCAGAACAACCGTTTCGCACAGCAAAGCCATCCCCTTCTCCCGACAGTTTCCTACTCGAAGACCTCATTCCTTCTATATGAATAAAATGGGTTCGAGACGACTAGTGTAACGCCACGGCCGGTGTCTGCATTTCCACATCCTCGTCCCCTATCCTTCCAAAATTGACAAGAGTTTGGGACGTAGAACTCGCCCACTCAGCGTTCGGAGGAATAGGGAGTCCATACTCCTTTCGTGACCTCCATAAGTCTTCCTGCGAAGAGGCATTCGGTTTACGGCCTCGACCGGAGGAGAGAAAGTGTGTGAATCGGCCTGTCGTCGATGTGGAACCCTCGCGGGTGGCGATAATTTTGTCGCGGAGGAGGCGGTAGAGAGGCAGCAAGGTGGGTAAGCAGGCGGCGGCAATGCCGATGTTGACTTCGGCGCTGTGAGATGTTAGACTGGGAAGGGTACCGGAAATCTGGAAGACCGGAGACGCGTGGTCTGACAAGACGCTGACTCACTCTCGCCAAAGGAAATTGTCGACACTGACCCCTGGGTAACGTCAGAGCGATCTTTGCAAAATTGTCTTTGAAGAAACAAATACAAGTTGGATCAATGTGGTCGTTTTGCCAATTGATGACCGTGCGGACAATGCAACATGCTGCAGTCCTGGACGTGAAATCAGTCAAAGTCGCCAAAATCAGACAGGATGTGTAAAGATAACAGAGTCATTACAATAGTCCAACACCCATAAGGCTGCACAGAAGAATCTTCTGCCGAAAGTGGATCCGAGCGTTGCGTATAATGATGATTGGGAACCCTGCGAGGATGAAATCCGAGATGATCGATATGACTGAGATAGGTCAGCACAGGCGACTTGACGGAACACGTTCGACAAACCTACTAGCTTGAGATATGAGGACTCTTTGGACTTGACCTTGTGTAAAGCATTTAGCGGTCTTTTGCCTTTTAACATCCCAGGCGCCGTCCACTGGAATGCATTGCAAGATCCAGACGAGAGACAGCACAATGTTCGAGAGGACCAAGAACGCCACGAGACCTTGGATGGGCCTTTCGATGCGCTTGTTGGGGGAGATGCGCAATAACAGTAAACAGATCGACACCTTGGTGATCATCAGAGTGAAGAAAGTCTGGATCCATTCTCCATAAATGTACTTCTTGAATTCTTGAACCTGATGGTCGTTGAGATAGTACTGATGCCGTCCAAATCCATAATGGATTTCTGGAAAGTCAAGTCCGACACCAACGATGCTGCCAAGCTTCGTCTAAGTCAGCATGTAAATTTGGAAGGCCAAAGAGAGAGCTCAGTACTAAAGCAAGGACTATGGTCCAGTCATCCCAACGAGCGGACTTGATAAGGAAGAGTCGGGTGTACAATCGAAGTGTCACAAAAATACATGACATGACCAAAAACCCAAGGCACGCCCCAAGAATTTGCCCTGTCCTGTTCTGGTTCCCATCAGGAGGAGGGAGTAGTTGAGTATCCATAGTTGTAGTACTTAAATTCCTGTGAGCATATTCGAGCACGGAAAGAAGCTGATCGTTGGGAGCAATAAAGATGTGATTTATATTCTCACTGATAGCGCCCTGCACAACTCACTGTGAGAAAGGTTGCATCTCATGAGAATCCTTCTCGCTAAGGGCGGCGCAGCCTTTCACCAGACTTTCCTTGGTCCTATGAACATATGATAGCACAATACAGAGTCCGCTCGTTTGTTGTTCTCCTTTGGCATGCCGTCTACTTGGAATACGGATCTCCTTGCACAAGTAGAGCACGAGCTGTAGGAATATACTTCAGAGAGGTTTGCGACGTCACACCGGTGCATACTAAGCTGGAAGGCAAAGAAGTTCAAATTCTGGAGACGCCATTGCACTGTTACTGAAAGGTGGTTTTCTTGAAGGATGGATGGCAATGCGAGCCGAAAGGCGATCATGACTTGAAATGGCAAAGCAGAATATGTCATGTGTGAAGATCTCTGCACGGGTTTGCAGCTCAGCCTGATAGCATAAACTTACCTTGATGATTTGCATTCGGGCAAATGAAGGAACAATGCCCGACTTACTCAGAGAAAGGGTATCTTACAGCCTGGTACTTCTCTAGGAATCTTTGTCCGGACACTTGAAGAAGAAACCTTAGAGGTATGTAGGATCACAGATATTTGCGGAGGGATCAATTCACGGTTCTTCACCCGGAAAACGAAGGAATCGGGATTCGCGCAGAGGAAAGTATCTGGGTAGCTTCGCGCGCGCGAGGTTACCTGCATATGGTGACAGCCAGGCGTGGCAACCTTGATAAATGTCTGTGCGTTGCTTGGATTGCTTGAAAGACTGGCCATCAGCGAAGGGCTGATACGGAATATGCATGCAACGGAGGATTGATGTGGATTATGCATGCAACGGAGAACTCGATAAGCATTGAACAAATGCCTCACACCTTAGAAATCTTCTTCCTGGAGAGAGAGGGCAGGATTCTATTCCTATGATGTTGCCTTGGAAGTATGGCTCACTCCTTCGCGCAACAGAATCCTTCTTGCATATGAAGACCTCTTTTTGATTCCGTTTCGAAGGACGTGATTCGTAGAAAAGTGGTCGTTTACAGGGTGAGATCAGATAAGCCTATCAAACCACAAAGTACCTGCGTAGAATATTCAGCTTATTCTGCTGGCGTTGCTATTTTCCCCCCAACCAGCATGTACGTCGTATGCAGGGTGGTGCTGGCTTTTTTGCGCTTCAAGTTGCATTCCACCCAACTGCTTTGATAAATTGATATCAACATTAATTTCACCCCGTATTTGATGAACAGTGCACAGGGCTACCGGGGCGGCCGGTAACTCGGGAAGTCTAGTGTATTGGCCCATCCTTATCGTATCCCAATCAATTCCTTCCATGCATATGTACTGAAGCTCCTTCAATCCTTCGCTCCCCAATACCCTAACCTACTTACTATAATCCATATCGATAAAAATGAAAGATGCAGAGGAAAAAGCATTGACACCCTCCCTCCTTTGAGCGAAATTGTTATTCGCCACAGCTTGACTGGGGGCTAGTGAGGGAGAGGCACAGCACACACTTATGGCAGGATAGCCGAGATTGCCATGTTGGAAGAGCCTTGAATAGGCGGTGTCCCCCCCGTTTCTTGCTCTTCATTCTTGTTCCTCTCGTCGCAAGAAGAGGTTTTTTGGACTTTTCCCACCCACCCGCGCCTTGTTTTTTAGCGTTTTCTTGTACTTAGACTCCAGGTCTTCTACCTTACGTAGAGGGAGTTTTCCTAGGGCTGAGCTGCATAGTGGACCGCTGTCTGCGTGCGGCTGGGCCTTAGGACCCAGCCAATCATCATTTAGAACTCATTTGTGCGTGTAGTTTTCATGGGACGTTACGCGAGACAGCACTAGTCCATCATAAAGATTCCCGTACTATTACCACCAGGTTGAGGCTCGACTCTCCATCCGTTCCTCAAGTATACCATCATTGTGAATCACTGCTATTTCAGGATCGTTGCTTACCGTATGACGGACACCAGCCTTCTGGGGAAAGCTGAGGCGCGCCGCATGCATTAGTGGTATTACATACGGGGTCTATCGTGCTACTGCTATAATAAGGCTGGGTTTCAGCTGATCTTTTGTCCTGATTCCCACTCCTATAATACTTCGTCTGTGAATATGTCTATAAATATGCATTGGCTGATCAACTTGCGCCGGGGAGTGTGCCTGTGTAAGGATGTACGTAGCAGGCGCGCTCCACAGCGATATTGTGGAAGTCTCTCCCACCAACCGGGGTAAAGGAATGAGGATGTATATCCAGAGAAGAAGGGTTTGTGTGTCGATTACCTCCCTTTTTCGATCAATGCGGGGAATGTAATTCACTTGTCTGTTTTGTCCATCTCGCATTAGCGAATTCACACGTGATATGATGTCATGTACCTACTATCATAGGTACCACCTCATATTCAAGGACTTAAACCAACAGCATTGGAGCGCAACTCCGATTCCATCCTACTTCTCCTCTGACTTATCAGACGGCACAAAATGGCCTCATGTGATGTACAAACCCTATTGCACGACAGCATCATTCACCCCCCAAAGCTCCCAACCCTTCGCTCAAACCAAGGAAGTCATGTCGAAGCAGCGTCCACCGGCTGGATGCAATCCGTCACGACCGACACACCATGGGAACAGATGAACGCACGCTACGAACGCGACGGCTATCTCTGGGTGAAGAACCTCATACCTCGAGAAGACGTTCTCGACATGCGGGAACAGTGAGTCCGAGCCACATTCGAGCTCGCCCCCGCCCCCCAACCTTTCCACCCGCTCACAATTTAAAAACCCCCCCAGCTATTTCCAACAACTCTCCCCCACCGGCATCCTCCTCCCCTCCACCTCCCCCCGCGACGGCATCTTCGACCCGGCCAACGACCCCCTCGCGCACCAAGGCCTCGGCGGCGCCCCGGACCCCGCGACCCTCGCCCTCCTCGACACCGCCCACGCGACCCCCGCCTACCGCCGCTTCCTCACCCACCCCGCCCTCCGCGCCTTCGTCCGGCACCTGATGCGCTGGCGCGCGGAAGTCCTCGTCGACCGCGCCATGCTGCGGCACAACTGCCCCGGCGGCCGCAGCACCGGCGTCCACTACGACAAACTGTTCCTCCGGGCCGGCGACGCCGAGTTCCTCACCGCGTGGGTCCCGATCGGGGACTGTAGGCCTACGGGCGGCGGCTTGATGTACCTCGAAGGCAGCGGTGAGCTCGGCGAGGAGATGGAGGCTGAGTTCGGGCGGGATGCGGAGGGGTTGAGTCCTGGGGAGCGTGTCGATGCGTTCAATAGGCTCATGATGGAGGATGGGTTCTTGTCGCATGACGCCGAGGAGTTTGGACGGGTGAGGGCGGGTGGGAAATTGAGGTGGTTGGTCGGTGATTATGAGGCTGGCGATGTGGTTTTCCACAAGCCGTATATGATCCACGCTGCGACCAAGAACGAGGACGAGCTGGGCAGGATCAGGCTGGCGAGCGACTTGAGGTTCTATGAGGAGGGCGCGGCGTTGGATCAGAGGTGGATGAAGGTGTGGCGGCACGATGATGGTCTTTAGGAAAGTCGGTTGTAGAAACTTGAGCTCATGATGATTCCGGTACCGTGCAACTCGTGTAATCAGCAGCCTACGATCGTGGTGCGCAACGGTAACAAGCCCCTTTTTCTTTCGATATCATGCAAAAGACTCCAACCGCTTGCATTTGTACGTGCTGTATCGATACGGGCACGCTTGCTTACCAGCCGACCTCCCCCCCCCAACCCAACTTTCACCTTTTTTCTGATCCGAGATAGCGCGAAAGCAGAAGGTGGCGCTCGCATCGGCCTCGTGTGCTTGCTCTCGACCTTCTTTGGCTTCCAGGGCTATAGCGTAGTCTCGCTGACCCTCTCGAGGAGATATGTTGAAAGAAAGGGCCCAACGCGGATCGAGCTGGTGGGAGTCGAAGTTGAAAGATAGGAGTCGTGCAGGTGATCTTGGGTGTGCGGTCCGTTGCAAAGCGCGGGGTTGACTGACTGGGATGTGCGTCAGATTGGAGTCGGAGCTGGATGTCCTCTTCGAGTGCGGGAGTAATACTTTCTGGAGGGGGCCAACACCGCACGGACAAGAGTGGGATGACGCGATGTGGACGATGAATTCTCACGCTGGACGGCCACTTGCGTATGACTGTGATACCTGTTGTGGCCTTTTTAGAGATCTGGGCCTCGTTTTGCGGTTTTGTTCCGCGTGGGGTGATACCCATTGCCACATGTGATCTACCAAGCTCTGTGTCCGTGTGTGCATGTGTAGAGTTTGGTTTGCAGGTAGATACGATTGAGGGAAGAAAGAAACAAACCAAGAAAAGAGGGAAGGAAGGGTATTTCGTTTCTTACACTTTTTGAGACGTAGGAAATAGTATTTGGGATGGGGGTTGCGGCCTGGTGGTTGGGCTTGTGAGATAGTAGGTATTGAGATTTTCTTTCCCAGGGATCGAGGGGATGTTTTGGTGGACCCCGGGTTTATTGTGAGAGATTGGGGGGAGGGGGGGGGGGGTTCGCTTGAGAAATGCAAGATGGAGATGTTGAGTTGTCCCATAGGTATTGGAATGTGGTGTGAAAGTTGTTGTTATCAAGAAGAAGAACGGCTGTGAAGCCTACTGAATAGTAGTTGGCGAGCATATTTCGACAATGCGTTTAGGCGACTTTCAGGGATATATCCCAGGGTAGGGGTGAGGCGATCGATCTGATTTTCGCTCAGACTCTTGCAGATCAAGAAAGGGAAAGAGAAAGAGCTGCGGAATGGCACGTTGTGGACACGAAACGCAGGAACCCTTTGGACCTTTCCTGTTCCCTTGTTACCCCCAACTTTAGCGATTTCATGCTGGACCAATTTCCATGGAGAGGTGATCGCCCAGCCCTATCATTGCTCGCATTAGCTGTGTCTTACGCGATGCCTCATTCTTAGACATAAGACTTACCCAAACCATCTCTCATCCCTACCTGTTCATTCCTCACACACACGCCGGTCAGCGCCACCGCCACGGTCCAGAATTGATATCTCGAAAACGTATCCGTCGGTCCTGCAGTGCGAATGCTCAACTTGCATCTTTGATCCACTAAATGCATCATTCGTTCAACCTGGGTCTCAGATGCATCATTTTTGGGGAACAGGACCTGGTATACAAACTCACATGAATGATAAGTCAGAGGCAACTTCATAACAGCCAGTGGGTCATTTTCCGGTCCCCAGGTCGTAAAGTCCATGCTTGCGGGCATGGTGTTGACGATGTTCTGGCACGATGACAGTAGCGAAGGGGATACCGTGCCAGAACATTGCACTTGTTTGGGCTCATACTTTAGAACGGCGACGCTTAGGTCGTTGTCGCCACCTGAGAAAGTTATTTCAGTCACGGGATACAGCACTAGTTTTACTGCTCTGACTGCAGACTGAACTGCTTACCTATATCGCGCACTTTCCCGCCCTGGGATGGCCTTGCAGTCACACATTGGTCGATGATGTAGCTGGCTGCGGATGCGACTTCTTGCAGACTCGCACGAGCGGAGGGTTCACCGAGTATGATGTTCGGTTCGATGATGCAGCGTCCGTCCGCTGTCAGTGAACAGAGCATCAGTCCAGGAGAGCATTTTCTCGCACGCAGCTTCTAGGATAGGGAAAACGGACAGCTGATGTATCTTTTGGGCAACTTTACGTCGAATGAACCTTTATACCGCGCACCGTAGGTCTGCTCGGTGGTAGAGGAGGCATCTATTTGGTTCAAAGCTTCGGTGCAACTTGTGCTGTCCAAGCTGTAGCCGAATCTTATCCCGTTGCATTCGTGAATGTAATTGGAGTTGGTTACATTGGCTACAGCAGAGCCTGGTAGGATCAGTGATGAGCTGTTCAATGTAAGGGCGGAGACAAGGATTATGTTTGAAAGTGCAAGCACGAAAGCGGTGAACGAGATCATGATGGTGGCTTCGATAATCAGTACCGAGTGGGCTTTCGGGAGACGAAAAAGAGGAATTTTTCTTTAACGTACCTAGTCGATCTTGCTTGATCCTGGTGAGGAACGCATGCGCATATCGAAAGAGCGATTGGCGACGAAAGTGTCTCCGCTTTGGCCTGTGGCGAAGTTGTTCTTTACGCGCTGAAATCCCAGCTGGCTCGCTCTGCGCATTATTGAATAAACCCAACCTTGGTGTGCAAAGTTACAAAAGTAAGGCTCAACGGTTGAAACAGCGACGTATGTAGCGAGATATGAGATTGCTCAGATCTCTCGCCTTATTGGTGACTGGAACCTTCCATTTCTAAGTACCGCATACATTCAGCCTTTCTTAATGACAAATGTCTTTCTCCTATCTCCATGGTCAATGGATCTGGTAGCTTTGACGCATGACGTCCTTCAACGCAAGAGAAAGTCTTATACCTCGACTCCGTTATTGATTGACTGACCTTCCATCAAGCCATGCACGTATGACTCACCTACCAAACGAAACCCAGATCCTTCGCCCCCCAGTATGAAAGGGACACGACCACCACTGAATTTACAGGAGCCACATCTGACCACAGCATTTGACGAAACTACCAACTCTCGCACGATCCAGATCCTGCAGAAATAAGCTCGTTCGAACAGTCTCGCAAGGGCTTCCCATTCATGAGAGGGGAAGTGAGGCAGATTCATGGCGTTCATGGTCTGTTTGCTCCAAAATCCAAATGGCATCCGGACTGGCATGTAAGCCTACACCTGCTGAGACGTGCTCCTTGATGATCCCGCCGATAAATTAGATTACGGTGGCAGTGTACTCGTCCTCTTTCCCAAGCCACCATATGACAAGAGCCGCGCGATTGTAGGTGTGTCTCATGAGGCCCACTTGATGGTTCCGTTCTTGCAGGTCGGCTTGATTTATGCAGATTGCGTCGATCCAGCCAAAGTCTATTAATAGTAGATCTGCGCAGAGAATAAAGGACCTCGTAGAGACTGTGCGCCACCTGTAGTAACCTTCCATCACGTAGTATAGTCTTGGCCAATGCCTGACTGTGCCATGTGTAGGGTAGAGCCTCATAAGCTCTAGGCTTCTCATTGATGCGTAGGGGACTGATGCTGTCCAGGTCCGCAATGTGCATCCTAAAATGGATGCGTACATCTTCTCCGGGCAGAATCTCCACGAGCCTGATCTTGGAGCTTCGCCATGGAAGCGATATGTAAGAGTAGGGTTCCGTGGAATCTTGTCCGCGACGCGAAAGTCGGATACTTTTAAACCTCAGCCCATACTAAGAAAAATACCAGTAGCGGGATTATAAGGCCGCGCCAGGTTTATATAGGGATTATATCAAAATAAGGCGCGGCCTCATAGTAACCTCGCTATTACTATCACACCGTCGCTAGATCTCGCTATTATCGATAAAACTATTTGTATAATAAAGGCTCTCCGCCTTCCCGAGATATATAGAATAAAAAGAAGACTCGCTGCTATCGAAGCTAAGGATTTTTATAAAAAAGAGAACTTTATTAATAATACTACTTATATAATCTAATTTAATTCTCTTTATTTTATCTCGCTAGCGTCTCTAATTAAGCTATATTATATTTATTATTAATAAGCTTGTTAGGAGCAGCCCCTACGGGGGCCCTACAGAGGTCCTGCGGGCAGGTATTTAGGTCCAAATAGGGGTGTCTGGCTGTCAAGCGCAGACACCCCCGGGACCAGGCTTTTTTAGCTGAGTTGCTAACAATAGTGTCTGCGCTTTGTTTCCGGGTCGGTAGCCTAAAGAATTTGGCTAGCCACCCCGGAGCGACACTAGCCATTGCCGGGGGTGACACGCTTAGTCTACTGAGGGTCGGGGGGCGCTATCACTTATGCGCTATCATCTACCACGTGGTATTTATTAATGATTTCAATAGCCTCGATAGTCACCATTTAAACAGTCTTTAATAAATACATTTATCACAATTAATTAATTCTGGGTATCTTTATTATACTCGCTTTCTTTTTTATAATTTACTATAACGAAAGATAGTAAATCGAAATAGCTAAAGGTTCTTAAGAATTATAAGACTCTTTCTATTAATTAATAATTTCTACTTACTTAGAATATATCTAATATTATTTTTAAGTATTTAAAGAATAGATTTAACGACCTCGAATATAATAATATATCTTATACTATCGCTAAAACTTTACTTTATATAATTTCTTTAATAATTATAAAAGTAATCGATTAACTAGATAATAAAGAATTACTCGTTATTATACTACGCTTAAAATAGTTTATTAAGCGTATTAAAGGCGATATTATAACTATAAAAAACTTTATAAAAATAGTAATTTTTAAGATATAAGGCTTAATAGACGTATAAACGAAAAACCTTTTAATTGTCTCTTCGTTACTCTTTTAAAATATATTATTATTATACTCGTTATAGCTAGTCTTATTCCTAAAACTTAATAAAAAAAAAGATTATTAAATTACTATTAAGATTAAAGATAAAAATATAATCTAGAAATTTCGAGTTTAAATCTTTAAGTAGCTATAGAATTTTATTAAAACTCGACTTAGATATTATTTAACACTTAAATCTATCGAAGTTAAAGTCGCTAGATAACTTAAATCTAAGAATCTATAACTTCTAATAAAAATTCAAAAAAGCGCTAAAATCTTAAGAAATATTAAGAAAGTTAAGAAATAAGTAGCGTATTTTAATATTAACGCGTTTATTTTAATTCTTACTTTTAATATAATTATTTATAATATCTCTATTAAACTTTATTAATTTCTAAAAAATATCGAGAGTCTTATCAAAATTATTCTTAAATTAAATATTTATAGAATTTTAAAAGTCGAAATTTAATATTTAAGCTAGCTAGATAAGAATAAAATTAAAAATTTATTAATTAAAATCTTAATAATAATTATTAAATTTATAAATCTCTATTACGCGAATATTATCTAATTAGATAATTTAAGCTAAAAAACTTTAAAAGAAAATATATATTATAATTACGAAAAGTATATTCGAGAAAGTAGAGTTAGTAGATATTTTCGCTATTAAAAACTTAAATATATTATATTCTTATACGAAGTTAAAGAATTAACCTACGCGTATTATATTTAAAAATATAATATTTATATATATAAGAAGCTTAAAAAATTAGACTTTAAATCTATATATATTAATTATAAAGATTAATATAAAGTATTTTAATTAAGCTATCTACACTATAAAAGTATTATCTTAAAAATAATTAAGAAAAGATAAAGATTTTAAGCCCTTTATTTTAAAAATAGCTTTAATTAATTATAGATAAATATTAATTAATTTTAAAATTTAAGTAATAATATAATTATATCTCGAAATATAGAGTTAAATATAGTTAAACTAAAGAGAATTAGAAAATTTAAATAAATTACTATCGCTCTTATCGCGATAATAATAAAGAAAGTTATTACTTAATAAACTTATCTAGATATCGAAATAATAGAGCTATTATCGATCTTTATCGAGATTCTAAATACTTAAATTAAAATATTTATCGAGATTTTTTAATAGAAAATTATAATATAATTAGATACTATAATAACTAAAGTTATAGCAATTATAAAAGCGAATATCTTCTCACTTTTATTTATATTTAATAATATTTCTTTACTCTTAGAGAAGTTATAATAGATAATAAAGATAGAGAAAAGAATAAATATAATAAGAAGTTTACTTATATTATTAAATAAAGATTATTATAAAAAATAAAAGAGAAACGATAAAATAATAATACGAACGCCGCTATCGATTTAAATTAAAATCTTTAATCTTATAAATCTTTAGAAATAGAATATTCTATTCGAGATTTTACTTATATTAACTTCTTAATAATATAAAGATCTATTTAAATAATTAAGAAGAGATATAGAAATTATAAAAATCGTAGATAAAGAAAATTAGATATTCTTTATAAATAAATCTAATAAGAAGATTTCGAGTTTATTCTTTTACGATAAATTAATAGATAAAAAAACTCTTATTTAAGAAGTGGCTAGAAAGAGTTATATAGCGTTATTAAGAAGATTTAATATAGAATTCTTTTAGACTAGATTAAATCATCGAATTTCTATAAAATTATACTATCGAATTATACGAAGCTTTAGAATTATAAATAATAAAAATAATAATATTAGTAGTAGCGATATTAGTAAAAATACTATAAATATCTTATTTTACGATAACTCTTAATAAGAGTATACTCGAAATAATAAGTATTAAAGTTATTAAAATCGCGATTTAGAATATTATAATATAATATTAATAAATTATTAGATATTATAATCTCACTCTTTTAGAAATATACTCTATTTCGATACGATATTTTAGTTATTTAAGAATTCTAAAAAAACTTTAGAAAGAAATAAATATTTTATCTAGCTTTAATAAACTTTTATATATACTATCTAAATCGCGAAGAATTAATTAGAGTATATATCTATATTAGTATTAAAATTTCTAAAAATAAATAATATTCTTAAATATATAGCGTAGATTTAATAATAATAACGCTTAAATTTTAAAAGCTAGATTAGAAAACTCTTTATATATATAATATTTATAACGTATTACTCTCTTAAAGATAAGAGATCTACTTTTATATAAATAGAAATAAAATTATTTAAAATTACTTAGAAATTATCTCTCTTAATACTCTTCGAATTATAATTATAAGAAATATAATTAATAAGCATTTAATTATAAACGATTTTAATCTATATTATTCTCTATAAATAAATTCTAAAAAATATTAATATCGAGAGATCTTATAATTAATAAATATTATTAATAAAGCTAGACTTTACTTATTAATATAAAAAGATATATTTATCTTTAAATTAAAAAAGCGAAGCGAGATAATTATTATAAATCTTACTTTAATTATAATAAATATAATCGATATTATAATTAAATATAATATTATAAAAAAA